AGGGCCCGCGGGCGGCGGGGCCCGGGCGCGAGAGGAGCTTCGGAGCCAACTGCCGGGAGCTCCTGCAGCAAGCGTGCGAGTGGGCGGGAGTGCTACTTTTTTTAAAAAATAAAAAATGCTGACCAAAGCCTAATCAGAAAAAAAGGAAGAAAAAAAATTTTTAAACAAAATAAGAGGATATTTGCCAAGATAAACCAAAATTAACGCAGCGATCAAAGCATAGTCCTTAGACAAGAGCAGCGTACCACCTTTCTTTTAAAAAAGGCGCTGCAGGAGCACTGGTACGTGACGCAGTTCCACTGCGGGAGCCTTCTGTTCTCTCTCAATTTTGTCGTGACTGCCTCCTCGACTGGGCACCCCGGTTCTCAGTGGCACACGGGGACTGCCTCCTCGACTGGGCACCCCGGTTCTCAGTGGCACAGTCATGTTTTCCTCTGAGACGGGACTCCCTTCCTTTGTTTGCTCCTTTAATACTGTGTCCTATTTTTATCATCAGTAGCCCCATAATCTCTCTTTACAAGAATGAGTTTTGGTCTCTGTAGAGAAACAGAAGAGAAAAAAACCGACAACTAAAAGAAGTAACAGCTTTGGTTCCATCACCTACTTGGTTTTCTATACATGTATGAAGGAGCAGTTCTCTTCCTCAGCTTAGCAACAGCCTATCTCTCACCAATTGCCTCTAAATTCTTTCGCCTCCTTTGATCAACAATAAGAGGATATTTGGCTTCATCAGATAAAGCATAAAACAGAGAACATAATTTACCTTTGTGTAATATCTTTGGTAATTTTAGAAAAAAAAGATACAAAGAATATAAATTAAGCTCCAAAGGGCTCTCAAACTAAAAACAAGAGCTACAGTCCCGGGTGAGAAATGAGAGACAGGAGGGGCTGCAGACCCAAGTGTCCAGGGTCCCCAGGACGGGGTGGCACTGACAGGGCCCATCACGCCCTGCGTGCTCCTTTCCCAGAGCCCAGGGCTGAAGTGCGCCCCATCGCTTGACGTCTTCCACTGCTAGTTCTGACACTGGGTTGTGTGATCACGTGGCATAACCAACTGAACTGCAGTAGCAAATTTGCACATTTGAAATGGACATTTTAGCATTTGCTGAACTCAAGTCTTCATTAACGCCCATAACAGGTTTGATCTGAAATCTAATTTGCATCAAACAGATTCATGCCACCAAGCAGGTCTGAGCTGACATTTAACCCAGCAGCATCACCACCACCGGCAAGGCTGCTCGGGGGAGCCAGTTTTCTGGCCACTTTGTAAGCAAAGCGACCCACACTGGTTAACGTGGCTCGTCCCAACACTGCTCCACAAAGGCCAGCCTTCCAGGCCAGGCTGTCCATCCCACGACTACGAGATTTTTCGGGGGGCGCTGCCTACGTTTCCTTGTGCTGTGAGAGGCGGTGGCATTTACTAAGAGTGACGGCAGCTGCAAAATAAAAGAGGAAAATCTGAAACAACCCTTCCCACCTCCGATGTCACCCTGGGGGTGAATCTGCATTGCTCCTAGAGTGTCTATTTTTTTCTGTCATTCACTCTCTTTCTGGCAGGACTTCGCTCTGGGGGAGAGGACCTTCATGTGTACAGTGCAGCATGTGGGACCTTTTTGAAAAAGACCAAAACGGAATGTTTTCTGACTTTAGAGAAAACATGGTGATGTCTGAAGAAAAATGGAATGAGTGACAGAAAACTACAAACAAGAAATGACATTCAGCTTTGTATAATAAAAACACCTATAAACATTCATCACAAGGTACAGAAAACATTAAGCCTCCAAGAGGCCGTGGGCCCAAGTGGAGGCCTGAGGTCAGAACTTAAAATGGTATAGTAGAAGCAAGAAAAAAAAGCAATACATTAAAAAGTTTGGGATAATTATTTTTAACCCCCTCCCCCCAATACACACACAAAGGCCTTCCCCATCCCAACTGGAAGCAAAAAAGAAAATAAAAAAAAATAAAAAATAAAAATGGAGTAAAGGCAGTGATAATCAACATGCAGTACTGTGCAAATAGGTCGTCCACGGAACCCTTAGATTCTGGGCAGAGGCTGGTCTGCAGCGTAGGTGCACATGCTCAGTTGGGTGTCCTCAGGGTCCAACGTGGGCAGGACTGCAGTTCAAAGTCTGCTGCTAAAAGTGAATCAGTTTAGCAAATTTACAACAGATGTTGCCTGTTAAGAGAGGAAAATCCCAAGTACCAAACAAGTCCATCCAATGCACAGAGTACAAATTCCTTTTTTCAACAAAAAGTAGAAAAATCAAAAATACTCCCAAATGGGATTCTTGATGGCACTAAGAGTTAACACATCTCAGAGCTGTCGAAATGCAGTGACACTCCTCCAGACTGTACAACAAACGGAGAGCAAGCTCACTGCTAACTTCTGACATGTTTTGTTTTGTTTTGTTTTTCCCCCAATCTTCCTTCTTGGGTTCGGCCTGCCCAGACGTTCATTCCATGTCCTCGTTTACCGGTTCGTCTTCGTAATCTCTGTCGTGGTCAAAGTCTGGGCTGTGGTTGGCCGTGGTCACCAAGGACAGAGGCCCTTCAGCTTCCTCTGGGTCGAGGGGCTCTTCTTTGACGTGCACGGGGTGCCTGGAAACACAAGAGAAGGCTCATTGAGAGAACTTCCTAGCCTGACGCAATTTAGCAGGTTTGGGCAACACAGGAGCGCACTCTAGGACAACACTGTCCAACACAGCAGCCGCTAGCCACATGTGGCCATTAAATTAAAACTTAATACCATTTAAAATTCAGTCTCTCAGTTGCACTGGCCAGATTTCAGATGTTCAAGGGCCACATGTGGCTAAGGCCACCATACTGGACAGAACAGAGCAGATACTCCATCATCACAGAGGGTTGCCCCACACGGCGGCTCTAGAAGGGCTGGTCCCGGGACAGAGGGCGCTCCCCTCGGCCGTGTTTCTCACACCTCCGTATGCACTCCCATCACCTGAGGGTCTGGTGAAAATGCGGAGCGTGACCCGGCCTGAGCCTCTGCACCTCCCACGCGCTCCCAGGCGATGCTGGCCCGAGGACCACGCTGTGATACAGGACAACAGGCACCGCATGGCATCCTGGGTGGATGAACACAGATCTTCAAATCACTGGGTGAACCAGGGATCTGTGGCCGGCGGTGGCTTGTGGGACCGTGGAGTGCGGAGGCTGGGTGAGCGCGGCTTGCTGTGTGTTCTGCTTTGCTAGTTAATATGCGGAACCTGTGAAAAAACCCTCCCGAGACCGACCCCAAGCGAGGGCCTATCATTAATCAACTTCAAGCAAACACAGCAAAGAGACACCATGATACATGCTTGAAACTCCAAATTAATGCATATTTTTACAAACTGTCAATAAGGCAAGAAAAGCCCTGCCAGGAAACACAAACGGAGAGGAAAAGGCTCCCTCCACACAACAGTCTGATAAGAGGAGCAGAGCCCGTCAGGATAATAACGCTGTCAGCTGTAAACACGGCGGAGCACGCGGCCGGCTGGTGGCGGCCACCAGGCCCGGCCTGTGAGGAGCCCGCCAACCGCCTCATTATGGGCTGAGCGGGGTTCAGCTGGAGGGGCCCAAGGGGATCACAGGACACCACTCTGATAAAAACTGAGAAGTGTTGTTCGTAAATCATATTTACAACCAAGCCTTTGCAAATACAAATTACTTTCTGTTACAGGGCTTTGATATGTAAAAGAACCATCGAGGTACACGGCGTCGCTGGGACAGGCTGCAGGAGGATGCGCTGACTGACTGACGTTATCAAGTATTAGCAACAAGATGTGTTACTGGGGACAGCTGGCTTCCTAAGAGACTGGTGCTGTGCGCAGACCCCGAAGGCCACCTGCACCATTTGAAAACAAACAGGAGTGCTGCGGACTGCCCCTGGCTTTGCGAACCTTCGGAGAAGCAAACGAGTCCAAGCTGAGCAGGAGAAAGAGCTTTCTTAAAATCGTGCCCATGTTCTTAAAAATCATTTGCAAAGTAAAATATACCAAAGTTGTCTAATAGCACACTTCACTAGGTGTGGTCCAGCTGCTGTGTTTTTGATGGCCCTACTTGTCAGTGTCTCTACAGTGAGACCCAGGCTGGCTACATAATTTGCAGAGCTCTACACAAAGTGAAACTGTGGTTCAAAATTCAGTAAGAATATCAAGCTGAGAAGAGCTCTAAGCCTGGCATCCTGCACGACTGCTTATATGATGTGCCTGTAAAGCCACCCCTGGCAGGACCCCCTGTATTCTCCTGGGAAGAATTAGGACTACCTATTATTATTCCTTAAAAAAAGTCACCCACAAACCCTAATTAGAGGAGGTGTTTTGTTTTTGCCTATCTTCTCCATTTGGGGTCATATTTTTATATCCTGTAAACACAGCAGGAATACGACTGTTTGTTCTGCCAGCTTTACAGTTATGATTTTTACAGCTACGCGAGACACCGTTAACGCGATGACACATTAGCGCCTCGATGCTCCGCATTTGTGGTTGTCTTTTTTCTCCCCCCTCTTCTGCTCTTTGCACAATACAGTGACAACTTTTATCCATTAATCTTTCTACTTCTGTTGATTTACCTCTTCAGGACAAATTTCTAAGAATGAAATTGTCAGAGCAAAGGCCAAAACATCTTCATGGTTCTCATAATTTACTGTGATATTAACTTCCAAAGGGGCTGTAGCAATTTAGGCTCAGTCTCACCAGCACCAAGTGTTTCTTTTTAAAAACATTTTGTTCTTTAGCAGGTATAATAAGGTAAGTTCGAGTTACCTTAAATTGTGTTTCTTGAGTTACTGACAACAGTGTACGTTTCTTCATGTTTGCTTCATATTTTCACTATTGAGAACTGTTAATTCATAAATTACCACCTGCTCCACTAGTGACATGGCTGTGACTAACTGGGTAGGAACGTGGCTGTGTTGGACTTTGCTACAGACTGAAGTTCAAATGCAGTTTCCTTGATCAACATTTTCCCAGTTTTATTTTTCTTAACTATCAGGTTTATTAATCTTTTCAGGTTTATAAATATGAATTTGATGATGTTGAGATGATACAAGGCTATGGGCTGGAGGGAGTGGGAGGACCTAGTAGAAATTGAACAGTCATCATGAAGTTCTTGCTTTAGTTTTAGACTTTGAAAAATATTTTGCTGGGCAAAATTTAAATAAATAAAAATCATGTAGCTATAAGCCCACCAACAGTTCATATTAGAGAGTATTTCAATGCAGGTGGGTCTCTGATGAGACCTGACGGCACACGAGACATGCAACCAGCTTCCTGAGGCTTCTGACACAGCGCAGCAGTGCAGGCCGGCAGCGCTCGGGCGGCGGGAGAGCGCAGGCCTCCGTGCAGGACACGCTTCGGGGCAGAGCGTGCGCGCACATCCACGGGCCTCCCAGGAACCGCAGCTGCGGCACACGCCTCTTCTCTTGCAGATCAGCACCCCCCCACACCCGCCCCATCTTTCTCTCCAAACTCCTACTTCCCAAAGGGCTACCAGTGAGTAACTGTAAAACCACACATTTCCCCTCTTACATCGACTAATTCCTCTGTTTAGATATTCTGGGAACACAGAGTTTTTAACTAAAGCTGACGGGTGTTTAAAGGCATTGGGATCCAAGGGTGTGTGCACAGCCTGGAGTATTTTGCTTTGTAGCTCCTTTAGCTCCTATCGGGATAAAAGTATAATGCCCCAAAGCCATAATTATGTGACTGCTTTCTAGAGTTTCCAAAGAGAAACAAAAGGTAATGGTATTTGAGTGTCACAGAAAGAGAAAGAAGGAAGAGTTGTTTCAACACCAGACAGCGGGCCGCAGTGCGAACCAAGCCCGTCCAGCCTCGCTGTGAGGTTTACAGCTCGACTTGCTCCCATGCACCAGGATGGCTGAGACAGCCTGCACCGCAGCAGGGTAATGCACGCTGGACACGCACGGGACTGTGTCATTACAGAGTGCGCTTAATGGAAATATGGGGTCAAAAAGAGTAACTGTCTGTGACACTGATAGCAGGCACAGGGAATGTGCTGTTGACATATGATTATATTCAGCAAACAGTGTGAACCTGTGAGATCTGAGCAAAAAATCATGCATTTTATTGTCTTTATGTAGGGTTTCTTTTTTTTTTAAGCAGCTGAAACCTTCATTTTGTTAAAAATTATGCTGGCTGCTGTAAAATATGGTTTCTGATAATACATGGGTTAATTCAAAGTTGTTAAACAAATTAACTTTATAGTGACTCTATCTTGTATGGCAAAATTAACGTCACTCTAAAATGTTGCCTAAGGTTTTTATCCAAATATCTTTTTTTTCTTTCTTTTTTAAGTGACCCTTTATATTAAATAATAGGAATATACATCAACTAGACCTTGGGAGTCCATAGGATTATGAGAAATAGTACCCTTCCATTCAATGACTTCAGATATTTTTTGCTCTAATGGGTATTTCTTGAAGTAGCTTACAGAGCAATTTACATTTGCTCTGAACCTCCTTAATATCTGAGTGAACACTCCTGTCGTGACAACGATGTGAAGGTGAAGACGTGTGACAGCAGCAGGGTCCGAAACACCAAGGGTGCTTTGGAAGCATGACCTATGGGAGTATCTCTCAGGGTTAATGCAGAGTAAATGCTAAGAGAGTATTCATATAAACTAAAAATCAGTTGTATTTTTAAAAATCCTTTTCAAATCACTTTGGGCATATATTCAAATGCTAAATAATCAAATGTCAAATTCCCCCCTAACCCACGAACTACTCTGGCAGACAGCATTTCTTCTGTTGTTAGATGCCAGTTAATTCTGTTCCTAATTGCTACCGGTCACATTTTCCATTCCTATTGCTCAAATAATCTTAAAACAAGATGCTGATCAGTAATTCAGAAAGCCTGTGTAGACAAGCAGCTTATCCTAAGAGCTGACAGTGTGCAAACACTGAGCTAGTTTATTCCCTAAAGTGGGCATAGTTTTGCAGACAGTTGCTAAAAGGCAGACTCAACCTATAGCACCCCCCCAAATCCAATCATACAGGAGAGCCGGGTTTCTGTTCTCTTTTGACCTTTTCCTGAGAGGGCAGGCCTTGTCTGAGTCCTACCTGCCCCTCCTAGGGCACACCCGCGGGGGACTGCAGTCTTGCCTGCGGTTGCCGGTCCTGGGGCCGTTCACATTCAGCATGGACAACCACCGCCCCTCACCTCTTTCAGACACGTGTGTGCTCGTTACACTGCTGTCTGTTGCTAGAACGCTCCTCTTAATTTTCCTTTTGACACGTTAAGAGCTTTCGGCCCATCAGGCTGCCTTTCACCTGTGCCACAGCTCATGTGCTTTGTACGCAGCGTCAGTGAGCGCGCCCTGGCAGGTGAACAAGCGCCCTTTTCCTCCCTGCGAAGGCAGCATGCCCGGGAGTTGAACAAACCAGACTGTTCCAGGGTGATGCACACTAACTTCAGTAGGACAAGGTAGGGTGGCTCCAGTGTCGGCCTGCGAGCCAGGCGGAGGGCAGAAGGGCACACCCCGCGACACCCCTTTACTGCTGTGCACACTCGTGGGGCTGCTTGAAGCAGGCCGCTTTCCTGGGAAATTAGAAAGTGTGCTACCCGAGCCAAAGGCTTCCAGAAGCACTGGGTTCTAGGAAACCAGAAATTATAGGAAAGGTGTAAAAAGTGGCCTCAGAAAGGCTGTGCGCACATAAGCGGGGAGACTGGAACCCGAACACGGAGGTCTTCGGGGAGGACAGTACTCACACGGCCTGCACCGGGGACCTGCCAGGGCTGCTGTCGCTCTCGGTGCTGTTGGGATGCTCCACCGCCCCGTTCAGCTCTTCCCGCACGGCGCTGGCGAGGCTGCCCAGGGTGGGGTTGCCCATGGAAGCCGTAGTGTACAGAGGTATACTGTTCTCAGCCATCGAAGCCTGCCGTCAAGCGAGAGAACATGGGTTAGGAGGCGGGGTGTGCAGAGAGGGGAGCTGTTAATCATGGGTGTAGTAAGTATTCTTCAGCGTAAGTTCATTGTAGTGTGGTTGGCAAATTCAAGTTCCTAGTGACAAGGATTTTGCTTTAAAAGTTAAGACTTATGACACATGTCCCAAGCTTAGTTTCAAAGAGCTACCTGGAGGGGGGGGGATTAAGCACCCCTGGGGAGGGAAGACCCAGTTCAGCCCCGTGGGTAGAGTCACATGGTTTAGACAAGGCGATCTAATAGGAGGTTTACAGCTGATGCCCTTTTTCAAGAGCAACTGAATATTTTCAGATCACAGGGAAACGTAATGGAATTTTCATTTCTTTATCCACTTTGATGACTCCAGTATTGGATATTAGAGATTTGATCACATTATTCTGGCTGCACAGCTCAAACTTATGAGAACTTCCATAAACATTTACTTCGTAGATCCTATAGAAGAGGAAGAGATTATAGAATTGGAATCAATTTTTACCTTCCCCCATCATTTCCGTTTTAATGATTTTTGAATCTGCTTAGTGTAGTTTGAGATAACTGGTTGAAGGTAACACCACACAATCTTTCAGACTCAGACCAGACCAATCACCTACAATTTTAGGACTGAAAATAAATAAATAAAAAATCTCCGCCAAAAGGAAGCTCTAAATCGTATTTCTTTTGGGTACTTAAGCAGATCCATACTGAAGGTAACAAAGTCAGTCCAAACGAGTGTCAGCAAAAAAGTATGGAAATGAAAAAAAAAAAAAATCCCAACTCCTGAGGGGAACCTGTTCACTTGCTATTAGGCTGTATTTAAATGCAATGGCCACCGAGTCTGAAATCAGAAATACGCAAATAGACCCCTGGACTAGAGTCCCCGTGCTGTTTCATTTGGGTAGTGATTATGACCCAGTGACTTCTCATTTTATTAAAGAGGACTTTCAGAAACTGGCAGTGGCAATTAGACCAAGATTTATCCAACTGTCCTCTTACAGGCAGCGCTATGCCTGGCTCTCCATTCTGATGTGGAGGAAGTACAACCAAAGACCATCTGGCATGTGACTTCAACTGGCCAGTCATGCGGGGTCCAAGCTATTCTAGAAACCCTGCTCTAGAGAGAAAGTAAGAGCCCAAATGAAGAGAGGCAGGTGCAAAACCAGCTGCAGGGAGCCAGCCTGTGAGTACCATAGGCTCACTCACTGTACAAACCCCAAACTCAGAAACGCCTTTTGGATTCAAGCCCCATGTTAGGAGAACCGTACACACCTAACCCAGCCCTGGCCAACGGGATATGTCAAAGCCAGGCCCTCTGCAAGCCCACAGCTTTTCCTTCCCTCCACTTTGAAACTTACAGTAACTACCTTAATTTAACAAGTAGGGTTTTTATTTCCAAATGTGGTGAACTCATTTTGATGATCAGCAAATCTGAACATTCCCCACTCTACTACAATTTGTCAAGTAATTTGCATCTAGTACTTTTTCTTGTAAATGTAATAATGCATTTTTTATTTTTTTGGCAGAGCATAAAGCAGGAAGAGTTGCCAGGCTTGTGTGCATGTGCGTGCGCGTCTGAGTGCAAACCACAGCTGGATCAGCCCCTTTGCTGCCACTGTTCCAGTGTTCGAGGCCCACGGCGGCCAGGCGGCCGGGCGTGAGAGCTCTGCCAGGACGACCACCTGAGGCTCTCCTTCTGGGATGCACCATAGCATTGGCTCTCACCAGACCATCTCACCGTCGCATAGTCCGAAAGTGGGGCTGAAAGTGGGGCCATCTCTAGCTTGGTATTTTAGCAGCTTCTTACGTAAAAATAAAATTGAAATGTAGATGAGAATATGCTCTTTGGGGTGAGGTGGTCGCCCAATGGACAGGGCACCCTTCCTGGGCCACCTGTCCTCCTTGGCTCTCCAAGCGTTCTAGTTGAGGCCGCTTCCGCCTGCGACTGGATCACAGAACACGGGCAGAGGCCCCACAGCCACAGGGTGAAAGGCGCCCAAAAGGCGAGCAGTGACACCGACCCTTGGTTCTCAAACAAGAAAGAGGTAAGTGAGAACCAGCCTCATCCCTTTAAAAAACGGACCAGCGGCTGCAAAAGGGCCCCCGGTGCCTGACACACCACAGGGCAGCTTGAACATTCTTTGTTGAGTGAGTGATCAAAGCCACCTATCCAAGGTTAGAAAAATTCTCACCAACTGCTTCTGCCCAAACAAGTGGTTCCTTTTGTAGTTGATGTCACCTCAGGAACAGCTGGGCTACAATTTTTATAATGGACTTAACTGTATAAATGGTCCCGGGCACAGTGTGTGGTTTCACACCAAACCGGCACCTCTGCCAAAACCACGAAGGCGCTTCAGCAGCAGAGCTGAGCCCGCGAGCGCCGCGGCTCCTGGGCCCCCGGGGACCGGCGTCTATGAATAGACAGCTCTACGGTTACCCTTAGTTACTTCACGGTCTCAGAGGCACTGCAGTCTGTCCCACGTCCAATGCTGTATTTCTGCAGTGGATTCGGCTGTCCTATTTTATGCACTGTACATCACGCATTATGTTTCACTAGTAATCTTTTTAAGATGTTGTTCCACTATTATTTTTACTTGTCTTGAAAAATGGAAAAGAGCAATAATGGAGGAAGGCCTGCTGGAGAGTCTTTATTTAATCTGCACAGTGGCGAGTTTTCTCAGGAGACCGTCCACTGACCATGGGTGCGAACAGAGCGAGGAGAGGGGAGGACGCCCTCAACACGGCACCACACCACCTGATCTACCTCACTTCACTGCGGACACAAAGTGTTCTGGAAAAACTGCAGCGCATTTGGGGCTATCACCGAAGACAAGGACGGTGCAGGGGGTGCCAAAGCAGGCGTCTTAAAGATGAACCACGCGCGGCTCTGTAATGACAGGGCATTCTAATTGAAATTAGTTACACAGTTAAGGGAACCCAGAGGATGGAAGATCGCTGCTTTTTTTTTTTTCCTTTCCGCCTCATGAATGTAAAATGTGCTTGTAATCTTAATACTATTCCAGATAGAGCAGAGCAGTCTTTAAATTCACACTTCACAAGACTCCAGGGAAAATAAGTCACTAATGAATGGTATTTACAGTGGCAGCATCTGAGCGTGCTTTCATTTGCTTTTCTAAAGTTACTGTGTAAACTACAAGTAATTAAAAGAAATGCAGAGAGTACTTCCTCCTAGTAAATTTGGTTCAGGCTAAGAATAAATAAATATAATTACTGAAAAGCTAAGTTCAGTGAATTTGCCTCAGCACTGAAACTGTGTAAAACGCGTGCCATCCATTCTTGGGAGCCCGAAGCCTCTGCCCAGCGACCCGGGAAAGCGGCTTTGCAGCAGGAGGAGTAGGTGCTCCAGGAACACTATCTGTGAGCAGTAAAGCCAGGGCGCCCAGCAGCACCTCCTCTTTAACCCGCCCGCTCCCACAGGGCCGGTGTCTCGGCCACTCTTTCGTCGTCATCCATAAAGAGCCTCTCTAAGACCTTTGCTTCTCTATGCCTGCCACCCCTCGTGAAGTACTGGGGCCTTTTGCAGGGGCACGAGACATGGTAATAGCTAAGTACCAATTTTAGGGTGATACAGCCCCCATCAAGGATGCATGCTGGAGGGGTCTGCAGTGGTCTTAGGCTATACATGTCAGTTCTGTCTACAGAATACAGAATCTAATAGTTACCAAGATCCCTGTGGCCTGTGGCCTGGAACAATCTAGGCAGGGTCAGATTCAAGCAGGACCGCTGGCCACAGGGACAGCCTACTTGTGAACTGCTGAAGGGACCTGGGTCCCACCCAGGTACTCGAGTGAGGTGGCACTGCGGTCTTCTCGTGGACTCTACTGCTTGGTAACTGGGGGGCCCGGTAAAGGCAAGGCATGGAGGTGCTGGCGCTGCCCTGGTAACTCGTATTTGGGTGGTGATCACCCCCCTGCTCAGCACCAGGGTCCTCACCGCCGGTGAGTGCCCGTGCCTCATCTGTCAGCAGGAAGCAAACACCCTGCGTGCTCGCTGCGGACTCTGAGCAATCTGCTGGAAGCCTGGAGTTTTCTTTAAAAACCTCTATCATTTAAACAGAACAGTTTACTATTACACAGCAAACCAAACCTCGACACCCCCTCCCGCCCCAGACAAAAGAAAAGATGCTAAAATAGACTTTAAAAGAAGAAGAAATGAAAAGCTCTGCTTTCTCTTTAAAGCCTGAACAATGGAAGGCCACGTGGCGCAGCGGCCTATCATCCCGCACATTAATAGCTGTGCTACAGTAATTACACTTGTGGTATTTTTGCCTCAAGTGAAATTCTGAAATAAGAGGATGGAAATTATGATACCGCTGATAAATATTAATAAGTGAACTTTTAATTTTTTTGCCACAATATTCAAAATGCTAAGCATCCTGCTAATGCTGAAGCAGCCGATGTGTTTGCCTCCAGGGAGGACGATGCTTTGTGCACTTAAGAAAAAAGTTTAACGGAATTAAAATTTAATATCTAATTAGAGTGAGGCTAATATATTTTGAAATGAGCGGGGGAGACACGTGCCTCTGCCGCATACTCGGGACGGCCATCAATCTTACCTGCAAAGCTGCATTGAGAGGTGTGCAGTAGGCGTGGCTGCTCTGCATGTTTTTAATGAGGGAAGGGTTACTGCACAGGAAAAAGAAAAAATTCAAAGTTAAATGCAATCAACTCCCGAGTTCCTAGCTAAGTTTTGTTCAAGCTTACTGGCATCCTTCCAAATCAGAACTATCCCCCGCTATCGAAACTAAAGACAACTAAGGTTTCCTCCATATCTCCTGGCTTCACTGGGCTGGGCTCTGTGAGCTCCTCTGGGAATATAGATTTTGCTACTCAAGGAAGCTGGGTGTAAAAGTCTGGGCTTAAGTAATGGGCACTCCCACCAGTGATGAATTTTTGTATCACTAAGTACTGGCCTCTCCGCCAGTTTCTAACAGCTGCCCTAGCTCCAGCAGGACAGCAGCAGCAGCAGCCCGCCGGGGTGTGG